GAGCCGGGGCGGGGACGCTTCCCCCGGGGCTCAGGCAAGGGATAAGATTGGGGCAGGTGCGAGCGTGAGGTTCTGATTGCGAACAAACCCCAAGCCCGCACGCACACACAAATTAAACAACCCCCACGCGCGTCGCCTGCCGCGCGAGCGGCCCGAAGCCGCGCGCGAGCGCGGCCCGACGGCGCGCCGCGTCCGAGGGGGCGCGCGTGGGGCCACCCGCACCTTGTCCGTCCCCCCGGCCGCCGCGACCACGTGCGTCGTCCCCTCGCCCGGCGCCTCGGAGCACGCGCCCCCGAAGCGCTCCGCGAGCCGCCACAGCGGGTGCGCGCGCGGGTCGGCGTTTTGGGGGCCGACGCGGCTGAAGACGAGGCCGACCCCGGCCAGGACGCGGCGGCGGTGGTCGTCCATCACGGCGCGCGCATCCCACACCTCGGGCGGCGCGCGGGCTGCGGCGCGCTCAAACACCTGCGCGGGCCGGGTGGGAGGTTTTTTGGAGGCCCGCACGACGGGCCGTCCAGGGGTTTGAGCATCAAAGCACTGATTTGCTGCAAATCAAAGCAGGGAACGCCGAGACCCAGGTTTTGCAGATGAATGGTGACGAGGCGGACGCCAGGGCGGCGAGGAGCGCCGGCTGCAGGAAAGCAAGCGAGCAATGACGTCCTGAACGCAGGGGGACGCGGGCGCTCGCCGGCGGCTGCACCTGCGTGTGTATGCGGTCGAGGATCTGCGAGGCCGCCGCCAGCATGCCGCGCTGGGGGCACTCGTCCCTGCGCGAGCGGGCAGGGGAGACGGACGGGACGGCCCCTGTGACGGCCTGACTGCGAAGCGTCTGGCTGGCGGCGGTGCCAGCTGTGGACAGGCCTGACAGGTTTGGCGCCGGGTCTCGGGATGCGCCGCCCAACCGGCTCCTGGGCCCCCTCCCTGCCCCCCCTCCCTGCCGCCTCCCTCTTTGCCTCCCTCCCTCTTTTGATGCACGCTTCAGCAGCATTGGGCGTGTGCGCAATCGGATGCGCGCGGGTGCTGCTTGCAAGCATGGCAGCAGTGCGTGTGTGCGTGCGTACGTGCACGCACGCACCACATTGCCCGAGCGGAAACGCCCCGCACGCGACGAGCCCCCACAGCGCCGCGCACCTGCCCAGCTCCAGCAGCGAGGGGCGCCGCCTGTCGTGCGCGCTGGGCATGAATGCGTAGCGCTCCGCCACGAGCAGGTTGCGCCTTGGGGGCGGGGGGGAGCCGCGTGAGAGGGGGTGGGGGTCGGCGCGTCATGCAGCGTGGGTGTGCGCTGAATGCAGAGGGTGACGGGAAGGCGGACAGGCAACTCAACATCCTCTCTTTCAGTTTGCAGAGCGTCCAGACACCAGCACACACACACACACACACACACACACACACACACACACACACTTGCAATGCTCACACACACACACATGCTCACACCCATGCACACGCGCGCGCACACATACACACTCACACACAATACACAACACACACGCCTTACACATGCACACACACAGCACGTCCCACCTGTCGCTCGGCCAGGGGCAGCTGCTGTCGTCCAGCACGACCAACAGGTGCTCCCGCCCCTCCAGCGCCTGAGCCAGCAGCTTCCCAACCACCTGGTCGCCAGGAAGGCGGGGACGAGATGGGTTTACCTTTTACCTTTTCACCAAAAAAATGTCTGCAGCATCACCAGGTACTGGACACTAAGACGACGGGCGCAACTGCCAGATGACGTCAAGTGACGTCATCTCTTGAACCGAGATGTCCCCATCACACGCCCTGGCCCGCCAGGCGGGCCGCCCACCTGCGCGCCGCCCCCGCCGCCGTCCGGGGCCGCCACGACGCGCCCCCCGAAGTGCCGCGGGCCCAGCAGCTCGACGGCCGCGGCGGCGTGCTGCCTGCCGGCGCCGCTGAAGCCCCAGACCTCGAACTTTTCCGAGGCGCGGCGCAGCAGCTCGCGCGCGCTGGGGCGCAGCTTGGCCCAGGCGCCCGCGCGCTGCTGGCGGAAGAGGTCCTGGTCGGGTGAGCCGGCCTGGGATGGGGGCGGCGGGGTGGAGGTGTGTGAGAGCAGTCGGATGATGCCTTTGTGGTGTGCGTGTGTGTGTATGTGTGTGTGTGTGTCCGTGTGCGGCGCACCTACAACGACCACGTTTGGGCTTTCAGCAGTGCAAACCCGCGATGCGGCTCGGTCCCCGGCCTACACACGCAGAAAGAAATTGAATCGCCACAGCGCTTAAAACGCAAAAAGTGTCAAAATTACCTCCAACTCTGCAGTGGTCTAGCGCACACGCGCGCGCTCGCGTACACACACACACACACACACACACACACACACACACACACACACACACACACACACACACACACTCACGCACGCGCACACCTGCGCGCGCCCCTGCGACACCAGCCGCAGCGCCTGCAGCACCCACCTGCTGCGCCAGCGAGTCCTGCAGTCTGCGCTCCGCCTCCGGCTCCAGATCACCAAACCTCGCGCTGCTGATCAGCGTGTGATCCAGATCCAAGGCCAGCACCAGCCGCCGGCCCCTGACCAGCGCCTCCGCCGACGCCCCGACATGC